GAGACTTCGTTTAAGCGGTACCAAGCGCTTACCACTTGAACCAACCCCCGTTGGTATAATATATAAAATTTATTTTATAGTATAAACTATATTATAAAAGAGTATTATATTTAAAGAATTAAAGTGCATTCAGCACTTTAAAATATTTTTTTGAGTACATCCAATATCCTAAAATATTGTCTGATACATCAAGTATCTAGAAGTATTTTTTAGAGCTGTCTAGCATCTTGAAGTATTTTTTTGTCTTGATGCTGAATGCACCAACAAATATTTTTGGGTGCTGAAACCACTTAAACAAATTATTTTGAGGTCCTAGATATACCAAAAAACACTTTACAGTACTAAACATATTTAAAAAAATATTTCAGAATATTAAATATATTTAAAAAATATTTCAGGTGCTAGATGAATGTTAACTCATATTTAAAAAAAAAAAAAAAAAGTTATTTGGACTTGATGGCCAAAAAAGTGTTTTTGTCTGGACCGGAAAGGCTGACGTCTTGTGTCTGCCATGGTGCCATGTCCTCTTCGTGATGAGTACGCAAAATTCATCTCATCCCCAAAAATAATAGAGCACGCAGTACAATTAGGCTTGAATTATTGCAGTTAAAGTGGCCATCGTATTATGACGCCTACACGTGTCGCTTTCTTTGGTGCAGGAGGCAATAATTGCTGGCAGTGGGCTCCCTTCTATCTGTAATTCTGTGTCGTGAAAATTAAAGGCTTTTTGTTTTTGGCTATTCCCATGACATGGGCCAACAGCGGTTGAGTCTCAAAAACTAGGCCTAATAAAATAAATGATGCATTAAATTTTCATATAAAAACTAATTGAAAGATTCGATTTGATCCATATAATACAGTGTTTCAGTCAATTTTATCCCGAATTTAATTTTTTTTTTTTTGGTAAAAAATTTATAATTTTTTCTTCTGAATATTTCTACTAGGTTATTGTTAGAGATAGTTTCAATGTGTATTATGAATAACTAATTTAATTTAATTTTTATAATATCTAAATTATTTATTTAACTCTTATATAAAAATTAAAAATAATATATATATAACTTAGCAGAAGAGCTATTTGTCTTACAGAAATAAAGATTCAATATTGGAAACTCATGTGTATCTGTTAATTAAAGCGGAGAGAAGTCAAGTTATAATTTGAATTTCAAGTCTTGTTCAAGTTGAGAATGTAATTAGCTGGGGGTAGAAAATGATTGGAAAATTATTCACAGGGTACTTTCGTTTTTCCCCCCCCTATTCGCGGGTTATTTTCAAAATATATGTTTTCGCATTTGTTAATCATTGAATTGGCTGAAATTTGAAATTTAATTTATTTGAAATATGTAGTTGTCATTTTTAGCGGTTGCTTTAGTTGTTTAATGGCCATTGGCTGTGTACTTAATTGAAACTCTTTTACATCTCTATTTTGATGAAGGTAAAAAAAAAAAGATTGAAATAGCCTGTTTAAGCGGAAAATTAGCGAACCGGTCTTTAACTTAGTATGCTTTGCTTATTAGATCGGAATTGAAACGAACCAGTTAAAACTGGTTTTAAAACGGGTGACTGCGCGGTAGGAGTGGGTTGTCTTGTTTCTTACTGCCTTGTTGGTATTCCAAGGGAGGTGGAAGAGTTGAAAGGACGAGAGGGAGAGGCAAAGAGGAGGAGAGGAGATCGCTGATCGATTCTTTAGAAATATATATCCATACGTGCTTTTGCTTTCTGAGTCCCATTGAAAATACAAAGTTCGAAGTGGGGAAGAAGAGACAAATGAAATAGAATAATTGAAAAAAAAAAAAAAAACAGGAGAAATAAGGAAAGGTGCTATGTCTTGAAACAACAAGATGAAAAGCTGGCTGGTGTTAATAATCCTATGTATAGACTCTATTTTGTAGGCCTGGTCTAACTTTTTCTTCCCAGTTTTTTTCTGTTTTTCAAAACCTATTTTTATTTTGTTTTTTTATCTCTCTGTAGCACGTATTTACATATTTGTAGTTTTAATATAAAAATTTGTTTGATTTTGATTTTAATATTAAATATAAAATCTTAATCTTCTTTATCTTTTATATTTATTTATTTTTTTAAAGTAGTCTTTGTAATAACAGTATTAGCTAATACATTTGATTAGTATGAATGTTTTAGGAAAGACAATACCAATTTATTTCAAATAACTAATTTAACAAACTTCTTTAATCTAATTGAATTTGTCAACCAATTCTTATATTAAGAATTGAAGGTAGTATTATAAAAACAAAAAAATAAGAAGGATGTCCGACAGAAAGAAGAGATAATAAAGCCTCTTTATTAATTATTACACTACACCTGCAATGCTTTTTCTATTTAAGGGTTTTTAAATGCTATCCTGATAAAAAAAAAAAAATTACACCAGATATAAAAAATTTTATAAGCAAATATAATATTTTGAATTTTAGTGATTAAAAATTTATAATGATATTAATGCTGTTACTTTTATTATTGTCAATTAAATTATATTATTTAAAATGATTAGTCTGATTCTGGTCTAATTTAATCTAATCCACTAATCTTTAAACTATCTTCTCAACTAGTTCAGTAGTCGATACGGTTTTTGGTACCTTTGTTTTGATCACATTGGAGCCTTCTTGTTGTTTCGCATGACTTGTTTTTTTTAATTTTTGTTACAATATTTAATTTTTTGTTTTGATCACATTGGAGTATAACTTTTGCCATATATTTTTTGTTTTGATCACATTGGAGTATAACTTTTGCCATATATTATCTCTGATCCTTATATAGATATTGTTTAATTTTTATTTTGATCCTAAATATAAGATCCAAATCTACTTTGTTTATCATATTTATGTAGTCTTCTGGTCCTTAATATAAGACCCATTTAACTAATTTGATTGGATTAAGAAAGTTAGGTAAGTTAGTTAATTATAAGAAAGGCGACATGTTTTTCCTAAAATACCATAATCATCTTTCTTAATACTTCCTCTCCCTCTTCTATTTGATTATGTTGAGAGAGTATCCATAAAGATAATTTAGAGAAAATTGACAAATATAAAAAATGGGTCTCATATTCAGAAAAAACCAACTCAACAATTAGGTCCTATATTAAGGACCAGAGGAGTATTTTTTTAGGTAGTTTTTCTAATAATAGTAGTTCTAGCCAATATAGTTGATTAGTAAAGATATTTTAAGAAAGATAACACCTGTTTATTACAAAAAACTAACTTAACTTATTTTCTTAATCTTATTAAATTAGTTAATTAGATCTTATAATTAGAATCGGAGATAGTATTTTTTGTAATTATTGCTTAAAAATGTTTGCTATGAGAATTTATTTCGCTGGATATATAAGTTGATGAGTCTTGTTCTTTTCGTCATTAGCGTGTTGCTTTCTCCCTTTTTAATTATGTGTGCCTATGTGTACGCCGCAAGAGGCATGATGAGATATTGCGAAGGTCAGATGCCCGAGATGAGAGAAAAAATTAACCCGAATTGACAATTAAGGAAAAAAAAATTGCCCACGTGATGGCTTTTAGAATCCCATCTGATTATGATCATGCAATAACATATACTACTTGCGGTCTAAATAATACTCCATCTGATTCAAAATATAAGTTAAATTTTATTTATTTATGTTTATCAAAAAATTAGTTAAAAACAATAAATATATAAAGCATATAATTTTTTTCCATATATACCCTTATTAATAAAAAAAAGTAAAGAATGCAATAAACGAATTAAAAGGGAGAGAAAATATATAGGAATAAAATTAAAAAAAATTCATTAAATACTTAGATAAAAGTGAATGTTATTTTATAAAAAAAAAAAATCAAACATCTCAAGCAAAGTTTAGTTTATATTTTAAATCGGAGAAAGTAAGATGTTCTTTATAGACTATAAATAAAATTTTATAATTAGTACCAAAAATAGTATATACATATCCGTATAAAAAGGAAAGATAAAAAAAAAAAAAAGATGACCCAATGAATCAAGTGGTGATGCGATATTATCATTAATCTCGTAATCTCTATCACAATGGACTCTACCGACTAGCTTGCCCTATGCCAGGTCTCGATCGGTGTCGAACTGACCCAAAGTAGTGAATGGAATTTGCCAGTCATCAGGTTCATTGAAACTAGCCTGGACCGGGCTTAATTAGCTTTTTAAAAAGCGTGGTTTTATTTGTGTTCTTGCAAAGAAGGATAAAATAAATTAAATCAATGGCTAATATAATTTTGGAAGAATGATATAAAAAAAGAGAGCTAGAAATTACTAAATTTTAAATCAGGTTCAGTAACAATGTTTTATTTGATATTTTGATAATACTGAATTTACAAATGACAAGAAATTTTGTTGGCATTTCTTATTTAACATTTACAGATTTTCAGTTTTTTATTTTATTTTTTCTATAATTTTTAGTCCGCCGAGTTTATTCTTGTTTGATTTTGGTTTTTCAAGTTTCAAATCATATCATTACTCAAGTTTTTTTTTCTATTTAAAATATCAATTCTTATAATTTAATAAAAACTTGGATTACTTTATTTATTGAGAACCAAAACTATGATTTGAAACTTATTGACTAAAATCAAAATAAAGGCAAAGTTAAGGGATAAAAAAATATATTAACGGTTAAATTAATCTATAAGTTGACGAGCTTGCACTTAAGTGCTTGAGTAATCCTTGTAGTTACGTGATATGTTTTCTCTTTTTTTTTTTTAAATATCCGGTGTCATACTTGTTCACTTGTATTTGTGGGTCTGCTAGATATAATTCGTCTAAATCAATTCACATCAAAGTTCCGTAATTAGACAGATTTTTTAAAGAAAATAGTGAGAAATAGTTCCTTGCTAAATTTGATTGATGAAGATAACATAAACTAGAGTAATAACGTATACATAATTCACAGAATACCGCATTATAAATTATTTTGTGAACAGGAGTAAAATAAAATAAAACAAAATAATAAAGTGCATTTCGGACTTAAAAGCCAGCCGCAGCTTATTATTGATAAGTTCCCATTTTTCTTCTTTGAGGTTCCACAACGAAGAGAAAATGACTATTCCAAATTCCATGGATGCCGACGAAGCTTCGCCGTAAGTACTCAACCCTCCTTCATGATTCTCAGTCTCACTAAGACTAGCCAATTCGTTGCCGGAAATCCGAAAGCATATTAAATAGTTTTGTTTAAGACTAAATAATTTTCTTGTGGTAGATTTGAGACCAGTGAGATGCTGGCAACGTTCCTGGCATCGACGCCATTGTTGTCGGAGTCATGGAAGCTGTGCAGCCTGGCTAACACCGCCGCACCGTGGAGTTTCGTGACGGAGCGAATCGGCAGCGTCGTTTATGTTGCTTTCTCGGGTGTCCAAATGGCCGGCGGGTCCGATGCGAGCTGGTGGAGCCCGGTAGCTCTAGATAGTATTGGCGACGTGGCGTTGTTTTCATCTCGTCGAAATATCGAAGGCGGGGAGCCGGCGATGGTGTACGCTGGGATGCTTAATCTCTTCCAGTCATTGTTCCACTCATTACAAAACCAGGTTTGTTTCTTCAAAAACTATTTCTACCTCCCTCCCTATATTTTGTACACTGCATGCACCCATCGTATGTGGCGTTCATGCAAAGCCGCGGTTTCACCCCGTTGTGAGCTTAACCCCCAAGAACTGTTCTGTTCTTCCAATATCCTATATCCTCTTTTTTTATTTCAACTTTCCTAGCTACAACTATTCTATATAAGATATATTTAACTCATTTAATTATATTAAAGAAGTTAGATAAGATATTTGATTATAAAAAATAACATATATATTTTTTTAAATATCATGATTATCTTTTCAATATCTTTCTTTTCTTCTTTTTTCTAACTACTTAATTATAATTGAGAGAGTATTAATATAATCATTTAAAAAATTAATAAATGTAAGAATTAGATCTTATATTATAAGACCAAAATCAAGTCAATTTTTATGGCCTCGTTTGGATTGTCGTTGGAGAAGGTAAAAGTGCATGAGAAAAGTGTGAAACTGAAGTTTGTGACTTATTTGGATAAAATTAGTTATTTGGATGGGTTTTCTTTTGTAATTGACTTATGTAAAAAAATAATTTTTCTAACTGACTTAGGAAATGCAATATGAATTAACTTTTCTAAATGACTTATGAGAAAATTATGCAAAACTTACAATCTAATTAGTTATGTGATTTTATTTACTTTACTAGAGACTAAATGAATTTTAATTTATATTCATGTTTGTCCATTATGTACATTAATTAATTATCTACAATGTGTTTTCAAATTTTTCTTTGTAACAAATATTTTTTATTTCATAATTTCACAAATGAACTATTTATATTTTATCATAATAATATTTTACGTATTTTTTAAAATTATTATCACATTAAAAACATAAATTTTCAAATACTATTATTCAATAAATCTATGCCCTTTTCAGTCATTTTATAACTAAACTAATTTTTTTTAGTAATTATCTAAACAACTTTAACTTTTTTAACTGATTTTTTTATAAGCACCTATACAAACATAAATCACATTACACTAACTATTTTTACTCTAATTTCAGTTACAAAAATCAGTTGGATCACAAGTTAGTTTTGTCTAATATCATTCCAAACACATCCTATGTTTTTATAGTAGGAGCCGGAAGAGTACTTTTTTTTAAAAAAAAAGTATTCCAAGGTATTGTCATCCGTACGAACTTTGACAGAGAAAGATCCGTAAAAAGGCCTGGAACCCTCAAACTAATCAAAATGTTGAAAACTTTGTGATGAGAAATTAAAGGTGCCGCTGAATTTACTGTATCCAAACTCAACTGCGAGAGGTGATTGGTTGCTTCGCCGTTAACTCAATTAAGGAGAGAAGAAGAAGAATAAAATGCCACTGTGGTCCTTTTTAAACTATCATTTATGATGAAAAAAATATACTCTTTTGTTTTATTTATAAGACAGAAAGAAAAAAATTTTTTAGCCTTATTTACAGGGCACTAAGAAATTTTTTTATATAGATATACAATTTTTTCTTCATTTATTATTGTGCTTGATTTAGTTTATATGAGGTATAACATATATTGAATAGGGATAAAGTTGGAAACTTATGAATTTTAAATGAGAGTTAATAAATTTTAAAGTTTTTTTTTGTCTGTATGAAACATGTTTTAAGTAACTTATAAATAAACCAGGAGAATATTAACTATTTAATAAAAGTAAAAATAAATTTTTTTTTGTATTTAATTAATGAGAGAAAAATTGAAAATAAACATTAAAAAAATGTAAGTGGTAAATAAAAAAGACTAAAATTCTTTTTTGCAAGTAACTTTTTTTTGTGTTAAAATATAAGTATCTTTTATTTTGATATGATTCTGTTCGAGACACTTCAAGTATTAAATATGATACTTCTCCTCAATGAGAATTTAAATTTAGATTTATCATTTTGTGAGAGGTAATTTTTTTTATTTATTAGATTGGTAACGTATAACAATTAAAACCCCCAGAGCAGTGTGAGCAACCGTGGGCCAAAGTCACCATATGTCTTTGTTCGTATTATGAATTGTGGTGAGGGGCGTCAGACTCATATCCGTGCGTGGGTGGCCGCCGACACTAAGTCGTCAAACTCGTCGTCGCTCGCTGGCCACCAACCAACGTTCCGTTCAGACACATCAAATCACACACAACAAAAAAATGTCAAAGGACCTACACTTTTCAGAAAATATCACATGTGCCCCCAGATAGAGCCACATATTTCTTTTTCACAGATCCCTGCTGGATTAAGGCAGAGATATTGTTGCATGTACACCACAAAAAATACGCCCGCTGCAGCAAATTAAACCCGTAATTAGTATGAATTAAAACCGTTGTAATCCTTCCTGATGACTCACACAAGATGGCCTGGGAAATTTATAGTACCGCACCAATCACCATTGATTCATGGTGACACCGCCACTAGAAAAAAAAGAAAATATTGTATTATTGGTCCCCTCAACAGTGTTCCTTTCTTTCTTTTTTCCATGTTATCACAGATGATAATACTATTTACAGCTTTTCATATAACGGTTTGTTTGATTTTTATTTTGATCTTAAATATAAAATCTCAATCTATTTTGTCTTTTATATTTATCTATTTTTTCTCAAAATAGTCTTTATAATAATAGTAGTTCTAGCTGATATACTTATTTAACAATAATATTTTAGAAACAATACTTATTTATTATAAATAACTAATTTAACTAATTTTCTTAATCTACTTAAATTAATCAATTAGTTTTTATATTAAGAGTGGGAGGTAGTATAATAAATATATAGAAATCAATATTAATGCATGACGAGCGAGAAAGCTACTCTCTTTTTTCTTCGGATGGTATCTATAATTTCTCTGCTGAATAGACAATGGAGACGTGCTTTTTCATTCCTTTTTTTTTTTTTGCTGGCTCTATAAGCAATCAGTATGACTTCAGAATATTACTACATGAGAAAAATAATATATATATATATATTTATATATATATTGATCGGTGAGATGGAGAGAGGGGTTCGTTGCATTTTGCAGTATTAAATGTCCTGCTAATTTTGGCCACAAAAATGTCCTCCTAAGCAAGTTATGTGACCAACAAAATCCATGGTGTGATGATCCGATTGTTTGGTGGGGATTTGAAAATGATTCTCCCTCTTTTTTAATATAAATTATATTTAAAATTTACAAATATCTTAATTTTTCCAACCTTACCATTTTAATATTATCAGCTGTAAATCATTTGTTAGGTAGGAAGTGAGTTAGTTTCACCTTAGTCACAGGAACATTTTAGATAATACTCCTCCGGTCCTAATTATAAGACCCAATTGACTTATTTGAGGAGATTAAGGAAGTAAGTTAGTTGGTTATTTATAATAAATAAGTGTTGTTATTCCTAAAATATCCTTGCTAATTAAGTATATTGGCTAAAACTATCATTATTAGAAGGATTATCTTGGAAAAAATACATAAATATAAGAGAGAAAATAGATTGGGTCTTATAATTAGGACCAATAAAAAGTCAATTGGGTCTTATAATAAGGACCGGAGGAGTATTTATTAATTGCTCCTATAATTGGAATGGAATATACATGCCTTACATTTGAAGGTGTGGGAGTAATTTAAGATGGTTAAATTTATGCACGTGAGAAATGGAATCTCCGAAGCTATTCTTATGGTTGGTTACTTAAATCTATGTTTTTTATTACAATTATATAGAACTTATCCTCTCAAATAGTCAATACAGTGCATTGATTAATCGGGAGAGCGACCCTGTTTTGTTACGCTAAGCAACAAGCTGCCTTGGTCTTTGTTCAACGTTTCGGGAGCAAGACTCCAAGACCTGAGTTATCAAGATGTTACAAGACTAGAATTAATCGGACCCCGACGAGGCACGGACTAATCTCCAGTCCAATCCATAATACCTTTGCTCGGGGAAAGTTAGGAAATTCACAGGAAAAATTTTACAAAACGACGTGGGCAAAACAACTTTAAGGTTAACTGTAAGCCCTTTTACTACGAAAAAGAATTAACAACTTTGCGAGTACCTTACTTTCTCCCTAGTATCTACTATTCTTGATCTTGAACATTGTTTCTAATCGCATTTCTAATTACCAACCTTCACTAACCGTTTGGAATGTTACCGTTCAGATGTTTGCAATAATAAAAAGTACAGATGCAAAGTCCATCGTCATCACCGGGCATTCCCTTGGAGGAGCCATAGCCTCTCTGAGTACTATTTGGTTCTTGTCTTGCCTCCGATCCATCTCGTCTGCTATATCAGTCTTATGTATCACTTTTGGCTCGCCGTTACTGGGAAACAAGTCTTTGTCCCAAGCCATTCTCAAAGAAAGGTGGGGGGGCAACTTCTGTCACGTCGTCTCAAATCATGACATAATGCCAAGGATGCTATTTGCTCCTTTGCAACCTCCTCTCACTGCCCACCTGAACTTCCTGCTTCAGTTTTGGCACTTGTCCATGGCTTCACTTGAACTTCGAAGGGTTGCAGTTCAAATTTCTGAACCAGACATTGCTGATTTGTTCTCCTTCGTAGTGGCTTGCTTGGGTGCAGCAGCAAAACCCGATGGAGAGGGATCTTCGCAAATTTCATTTCACCCATTTGGCAGCTATGTCTTTGCTTCAGAGAAAGGAGCAGTGTGCGTGGATAGTGCAACAACAGTAATACAGATGATGCATTTCATGTTTGCACCCAGTTCTCCAGCTTGCAGTATTGATGATCATCTAAAGTATGGAGATTACGTAAATCATTTGTCCCTGCAAGCCTTTAAGAGGAATTGCGAGCAGGCGAACATTTCTGACTCAAGCTACGAAGCCGGGCTTGAATTGGCCTTGAAGTCCTCAGGGGTCCCTAGCCAGGTAAGTTAACTATGCTAAATAAGACACGGGTAAATAAAAACACGGCATGCAAATTTTTATCTATAAAAAATTCAGTACTTATTATGATTTTATCAGAAAATTTAAGAGTGAAGCCCTAAAAAGTGTTCTAAAACTTTTCTAAACAGGGATCAGTTGCCATGCCCATCAAGGAATGCTTACGGATGGCAAGGAGAATGGGTCGCTCACCATCTCTAAAACATGCCAGCCTAGCAGTCACATTATCTAAGTTTGTACCTTACAGAGCTGAAATAGAATGGTACAAGTCATTGTGTGATCAGGCGGATGATCAGCTTGGGTACTATGACTCATTCAAGAGGAGGGGCTCTTCAAGAAGGGGCATGAAAATTAACATGAACCGTCTCAAACTTGCCAGGTTCTGGAACAATGTAATTGACATGATGGAAAGCAATCAGCTACCTTATGACTTTGATAGGAGCAGAAAATGGGTCAATTCTTCTCAGTTCTATAAACTGTTGGTTGAGCCATTAGATATTGCAGAGTATTACAGGAAAGGGATGCACAGAACCAAGGGACATTACATACAGCACGGTAGAGAGAGAAGGTATGAAATTTTTGATAGATGGTGGAAGGATAGAACGCCTTCTGCTGCAGAAGGAAATCATGTGAGGAGCACATTTGCGAGTTTGACCCAAGATACATGCTTCTGGGCAAGGGTAGAAGAAGCAAGGGACTGGTTAGATAGTGTTAGAAGTGAAATTGACATAAGCAAGGAGGCTCATTTGTGGGATAACATCGAGAAATTTGAAAATTATGCTGCTCAACTCATTGAAAATAAGGAGGTATCCAAAGACGTTCTGGCTAAAAACTCAAGTTACAGCGTATGGGTGGAGGAGTTAAGAGAACTGAGAGAAATGAAAGCAAAAGTGCAGAACTTTCCTTATCAGTTTACCCGTTTTGTGAACGGGGGAGTAGTTCCTTAATTAGTATGCAATTTGAATCGTGTAAGCCTTACTCTTTGCTTGTAAGCTAATTATGTCTGAGTCTCCCAGAACAGCTTCTGCTGCAAAATAACTTGTATGCTGCTTTATGACTGTATGCCATCAGGATATCCTTACGTACGTATTAAAAGCAGGGAAAAAGTGAGTGATAAATTATCCTTGCCTGTTTTACCCAAGTGAACGAACGTTTACTTCAGGAACTTGCAATTCATTAATAATGATGTAAGTAGGATCAAGTCGCATGGTTTATACCTTGGGAACAATACAACTTGTAATAAATATAAGTAATACATAACATAAGTTTGTGTGTGTATTCAATATTGATATCTTATTATGAACATGAAAAGTTGTATGGATGTTCACCTCTTTCTTGTTCTTCATCTTTTTTTTTGAGTAACTCCCAATACTATCCCATTCCATTAATCTTGCAACTCAACTCCTATTTACACTCATAGGTTTTATTATCTATTATTTGTCATTTAACATTAGTGTAACCTAAGAATAAGACCATGCCCATAAATAAGGCACGTCATCTGTATTGTATTGATACATGTGGGTAAACGAAAAGGAGAGGGCTAAGTATGTAATGTTAGCTTCGTGATATAAGAGAGACAGGTCAAGAGTTTTGAGGACTACGAATGTACACGTGCACAAAAATTATGCATGAATACACACAGAAAAAAGGTTTAGGTCACTCTTAATATGAAATGATAGTTGATACGTCGAGCCTTATCAGAGAACTTGAACTTAGTCAAAGATGTACATCAAATTTTCATGCTGCCTGTTTGTAAATGCTAGTGAAATAAAATTTGAGTAGTTGTTAGTACTTGATCACCATGGCTTGGGAATGAACAAAAAGAATCAGAACTAGATCGTGCGCACGTCATACCAAAGTTGCTGCATCAAAAGAATGAAGCACTTGCTCTAATATCATTCTTTTATGAGGGTCAAGAGGACTCTCTGGTTTATCAGAGTGAACAATATTAAGAAGATAGAGCTTCTTTGAGGCCACAAATGCTGCAGAAAAAATCCTCTTCATTCCTCCCCGAGTGCTGTCAATTATATATTCAAACTCATAAATTGGTAAGCCCCCTCCTCCTGACCTCTCTGCGAATTTAATCACCTCTGCTTCCTTTGTGCTTTCCTGAACCAGAAAATAATAGAATGGCCACTTAGAAGTTTAAATAAACATTTTCAGCACCTCCAGTGAAGTTTCAGAGATCAACTTATTGCTTTTCTGCTCTTTTCGGAAAGCTTTATGTTAAATGGAGATTGCCCATGTTTTGATTTTTTTTTCCCCTCTTTTATGATTAAAAAATAGCTGCTATCATTGTTGAACTCGGTATAAAATTCCTGACCTCCCCATTGATTGAATCTGGCATAGCTAATTTTTAGTGCCATCAAAAGTTTAACTTCCTATTCTTCTTCTTTTTAGAGATGCTGTTTAGAAAAGAGATTATAAAAGTAATTATTCCGTTACAAGTTCAGCAGCCGCTAGTATCACAGGGCACTAATTTGCGAAAGTTACAGAAGAATCGTAACAAACAGTTACCTTACGTTTTTCTGCTTGAACAAGCTTATCAGCCACAAATTGAGGACTTCCGAACTTTTCAAGACTTTCAAGGCGAACCGGGTTCACCACAACCCCAATATTGTTACTTCCCATATTTGCCTCTTGAAACAGCACAGTTGCTCCTGCTTTATCAACCTGCTAAGTATCAAACCTATTAACAAATATAATCGTTTTAGAAAAAAAACAGACCTTACCATACAAAGAATGAAAGGTCTGTTGTGAAATAGTCACATATGAGCAACTACCTTCATCCAAGAAGAGGGTTTCAGGAGAGTGAAACCTTCCTTTGAATCCGTGTACCTCTCCAGCTCCATTTCTTCAGCCAACAACGCACTAGACACATCAGGCAAACCGCATATCGACATTGCCACAAGGGTAAGGTTGAGCATCCTCTTAGTTAAAAAGGGTTCATCACTGCTGGATCTGGGATTGCAATTTTGAGTCACCAAAGAAGATTTCGGTTTGGACAATAAAATTGAGACGAATGTTTTTGGAGAAGAATAAATCAATCCATCACGTCGCAGGGAAAGGCTGCTCTGTAGAACGGTGAAACTACTTGTCAAAGCCATTGCATAGCACGGTGAAGCCAGCGATGCTCTATCTTCAGCCTCATAGGACAAATCCTTGAGCAGCCAGCCCCTGCCCTCGGGTTGGGTTATCCAGAGGGAGACACTTTATGCATATCTATATGCATATAGGTATAAAATATATATGTCCACACTGGACAGGTTATAACTAGCAGCAAAATGATATCAAATACAAGCTACAAACTACTCCGTACGAAATTATATTATTCGTAAGATATGAACAAGTCCTCCGGGGGGGCTAGTCCTTGCGATTTTTTTTTATAAAATGTATCTACAGCTGAAATTTTATACTTTGTTACTCTTTTGAAGATGCAGGTGAAAATATACGCCCGCGTAATTTTTATAAATTAGAAAATTGACATAGCTAATTGCATCATGAAACTTAGCAATTGAGTTTCTGAACGTGATGATTTGATGTATTTAGGAGATGAATCATTATTTGGCTTGAAGGATTGAAAGAGAGGGAAGAAAAATTTTAATGAGTTTAATTTATATTAATCGATAGATGAGTATATTATTTTCATCCTAAATCATATACAGGGAAATATCATTTTGTGACGAATTAAACCTACACGCTAAACAGCCGGTTCGCAAGGTCATTCTCCCTTGGGGCTTGGTTCACAACCTGATCTAATCATAGAAAAGTCAATATCTTTTTTTGAAAATGTATCAGATTTGATTGAATTTCCAAAACCTCAAAAGGTAACGATCAAAATATCTTAATTTTATTTCAGCTCTAGTAATATTATACCAACCCCAAGCGCGTAGAATGTTTCATTCAACGTGGAGCCTGCGGCCTGACAAGCAAGCCGCAAAAAAAAAAAAAAAAAAAAGGAAGCCCCAAGCCCTCAATGGCATTTTCTCCCTCACCATCTACTTAACAACTGTGAGAAATTAGTTTTCTTATAATCCAAAAGTACAAACCCTGTTTGGAACCCCCGCGGGGACAAAATCTTCCATGTACAAGCTTGATGGCAGTCAAACTACTTGATAATATATTACAATCACTGCAGTTCAAAGATCTAAATGGGATTTCTCTCCACGAGAGCTGGAAGACAACTTGGATGAATGCATAAACATTGTGCCAAAATATCTGGACAGGATGAGTCGAGCAACATTCTCAGCTGCTACAGCACTTGTTTCCATGGTGCTAGCTGCATTCTCAAATGTATTGACGTAATACAAATGCCGACCATCCAACAGAAATGGCGTAAATACTTCAGGGGCACGGTAGAGAGGGTAGGCGGGCCAGTTTATTCTAATAGTCTCTTTCCTCACACTGCAAGTAGCGGCAATTAAGAAATATATATATATATATATGTAATTAAAAGAAGTTACAGCTAAAATTTGGTTGCAGCCCTTTTTCTCATTTTCGCGGGCAATGGAAGAGGGGAGATCTCAAATCCAAATTAAAAGAAACATAATACAAGAAAATGTAAACACTGAATCCTATATTATTTGTTTTGTGGTTCAGGTGTTAACCACAATAACAGATGATATTAGGGTTTAATTTGCGAATTCACTGCTTAGATTATGATCGGACTGCTTTCGTGACAGGAAGTGAGTGGGTTTAGTCAAAGGATTTTGTTGCACAAATCAGCAGCATGACTTTGCTAAACAACTAGCTGATAATACTTTACCTAAAGATGGTATCCAGCAATGAGTCTGACACTGGCTGACGAGAGAATATCTTATACGTGGCATCCTTTTCATCATACTTCTTGAGAACTGAAATGCTAGAGAATGGAAGGTCAGGAGCCTCGACTGTGCCCACAAGGTCTGGAATCTCCGTCACCGCACTGAGGCCAAAGTATGCCTTATGTCGGGTAACACAAAACATCACTATTAGAAATAAAAATTGAAGAGAAAAGGCATTATGCTAACAATAAAACACCTTTATTGTTGAGTTGTTTGGAATGACTTATAAACAGTTTTTTAATCTCAATTTATGGAACACGAGATAAGCATGTGAGAGGAATTTTGTCTTAGTTTACATGAAATATGTTTATAAGTGCTTATATAAGCAATGCCAAACAAGCACTAAATGATGTCAGTAAGTTTCTGACTGCCAAGATACTTACTGGGTTCAGCAAGCCCCGAACAAAAGTTGCATGGGTGTGCTGTGTTTTTCTTTTAGAAATTGATGTCTGAGGAAATAATTGTATATTTGACTCATCCAAAGGTGTAGCAACCACTGCAACCTCACAGACATAACTGTTGCCTTTCGTGGAGTTGAGTTCATAAAAATCCCCAAGGTCAGCAATGGATTCTATTTCTTCATGCAGGTGCAACGCAACATCAGACTGATTAATCAGTCCAGCAGCCATTTGCCAGTTGCCTCCTTTGATGGACCATAGTCCTCCACCTGATCCTGCCAAAGAAACTGTACCAGCAAGTCCGCTGATGTATACACTCTGGCCATAATTAATTCGCGTGATGACCTGTATGTATAAAGAGGCTTCTTATTCTGATTAGCTTTCCTAAATCTTATACCCTGCTGCTTACTCGGACAAGTTAATATAACAACAAATGGGAAGCACCATGCCCTCCACATCCACTTCACAGGGAAAACTGAAAAGGCTATAAGCATAAAAAATTTTGTCAATTAAAACCCTAGAAAAACCACATGACAAGAGCTTGCATGGGACACGAATAAACTGCCCAAGCAAAAGTTTTCAATGCCGTATTAAAAGGGCAGACCGATACCCACCTTCATAAGACTTGACACTTTATTCATTCCAAATTGTTCGTCACTTAGCAATATAAATACTTTCACAGAACCCACTACCCTTAAATTAGTACACAGATGAATATAAACACGTTGAGAACCGCAACAAATCAGGTTATTCAACTATAACATTGACAGGCTCATCATTTCTCACCACCTAGGTTATAAATAACTTTATATAACTGGTCTTTGTTCCCAGATTGAATCTTCTTGCGAATACATCATTCACATTTTTAGCGTTGTTTTTACATAATCAAAAGACAGCTCTGTAATTCTGTTACAGGGAAAAAGTCCCCTTGTTCCAGTGCCGCCGCCGCCGGCACCATTAATATCGCCTGTACTTCTATTTTTAGACGAACGAAATACCAATACTGTTATTAAGAGGTGTTTCCATTGCACTCAACACTTCAGCAGAGCAACAGAACGATTAGGTGAGAGATTTGAAAACAGCATAATTAATAAGAGCTCTTACAGTGACAAGTTCTTCTATCAACAAGGGAGACAACCCAAGATCAACTAATTCATCTCGCAAAGTCCTGGTCGTAAGATTATACAGACCAGCCCACTTCAGCATCGCATCCGGAGTCTCGAAAATAGGTCTCGAAGCTGGTTCGTCGTAGTACCTTAAGAATCGAGCCACGGTACTCTAAATAACAAATAAATGAAGGCATTACAACAAGGTTATGCGTTGACTAGAAGGTTTACAATAAGAAATAAAAGAGCACCATTGAAGCAAATAAAATGAATCGCAGAGAAATAAAGGAAAGACTAAGGCACCTCAACAAAAATATTCATTTTAAGAAGTGAAAAGCCGTAGCGGATGAATAGAAGAATCGAATTAACAATTGAGACGAGCTTATCGAGCAAGGGAACATTGGAATCAATTTTGAGCGTTTTAAAAACAAACTTCTCCCCGTCCCAAATTCCCAGAGACAAAGAACCTGAAGATGAATCCTTCTCCTTGAACTCGAGATTAAGAAGCTTAGTGTAATTCAAGGCGTGAAAGTTTTTGGGATGAAGAATTGAAGCTCCAGCTTCGAAGGTGTCTCCCGCAACATTCACAGTAGCCATGCGACCCCCAACGAGTCCGTTGCGTTCGAACATTTGAATTCTGATAGGAGGAGAGGAACTAGGTGAGTACTTGCGGAGGAAGTGGGCGGCTGAGGAGCCACCGATGCCGCTGCCGATGATACAGACGGTCGGTGCCGGTGAAGTTGCAACATCTTGTGCCTGAAAGATCGCAAGAAAAGTCAACAGCAGGAAGATCCTCGCCATTGGGTGCGTCATGCTAGTAGGAGTCCCGTCCATGTTCCCCGTCTACCACCGTCTCTTATCTGGCGAACGTGGTTTTCTTCTGTGCAGTCCAAGCTTCGGCGAGGTCCTCCCCCCCCCCTTCTCCTATCTGTATTTTTTTAAACCCTGCTATTTTAATTTTTAATAAGTGCCGCGAATTAAAAGATTTTTTTTAATTTTAAAGTAAAATAGACTGACTATCTTCTATTTTATTTTAATTATAATTTTTTTCTATTTTGAAAATGTATGTAAATTTTTCTTAAAATTAAAATATATATTATACAAAAATTTTTTATATTTAATATTATATTTTCATCTATTTAAATTATTAGTTGACCATTAAATTTGATTTTTAAATTTTTTTGTTAACCAAAATACCCTTTTTAACATAGTAATTATTTAAAAATTTATATTGTCCAAAAATAATTTTTATAAAATCAAAAAATAATTCTAATACATATATCTTTAAAATTTCTAATATGTTATAAAATTTATTAATTTTGATTTAACATATAAAATAATAATGTAGGGATTTATTAGAATGGGGGATAAAATAGAAAATAAATTTTTAGTTAAAAATAATATTTTAAAATTTTTTAATTGTATTAACTAATTGCATTAAATTGTATATTTTTAAAATAGAATAAAATTTTTTACAATTGATACAAGCTAAAAACATAATGAGAGTATTTTTCTCTTAATTTTATGGTTCCTCTATCTAAAATTATATGACGTCTATCATACCGCAGGATGAACTGTGTTGGTTTAGTCAAAGGATGAGCTGGGCCGTAGCAAATGTCATCATTTTGACCATTCATTCCATAATTACACTGTTTTATTTAAAAATGAATCGCATTATTTTAACTTAAAATTTGTTAAAATTTCAAATTTTTATACAAAATATGTATACACGCCCACGCATGATCCGATTGTTTTTTTGCAGTGTTTGAGTAACCCCATAGTTACTTTTTAGAAATATAGTAAGATTTTTAACCGTCATCACTCTAATTTTAATCTGAAACCGGGCGTGTAAAGCGTCCTGAATCCGGAAATTTGGGCGGGAAAACAAATCCCCCGCGAAACCCCTTTCCCGCACCACAGCTCATGAATTGCAAAGTTTCGATGTTCAACTTCATAATCCTCTAGTCCCATTCCGGTCCTAATCAAATCGATGGCCGGTCGCACCGTCAACGTACTCAACGTAGCGGAGAAGCCGTCAGTGGCCAAGTCTGTCGCCACTATACTATCGAGGAACCAGGGCCTGCGAGTAAGGGAGGGTCGTTCCCGCTATAACAAGATTTTCGAGTTCAACTACGCGATTCGGGGCCAGCCTTGCCACATGCTCTTCACATCCGTTACTGGCCACCTTATGGAACTCGAATTCGAAGAGCGTTACCGCAAATGGCTCTCATGCGACCCCGCCGATCTTTACCATGCTCCTGTCCATAAATTTGTTCCTGAGGTCTTAGATACTCGTCATTCTGTTTACGCTCTCACTCTATTCCTCATATTCTCGTGGCTTTTAATAATTGTTTCGATTTTCACAATTTATTGCAAGTGCTGTTCCTGTCGTTAGTGGAGAGTAATTTACTGCATATATTTTCTGTCTCCGTTGATTTAGGACAAAAAGGATATTAAAAGGACACTGGAGGAGGAATCAAGGAGGTGCCAGTGGCTTGTTTTGTGGCTTGACTGTGATAGGGAGGGTGAAAACATTGCATTTGAAGTAATAGAAGTGTGCACCGCAGTAAATCGCCATCTTACTCTAAAGAGGGCTCGTTTTTCTGCCTTGATTGACAGGTTTTATAGTGTACCAGTAACAAAATCAAACTTTCTATTAGAGATAATCTTTTTAAAGTTTGATTGTCACTGACATTTGATCTTTGCTATGGCAGGGAAATACATCAGGCTATGCAGAATCTTGTTGAACCTAATAAGTGGTTTGCTGATGCCGTGGATGCTAGGCAAGTGAGTTGCCTGTTCAAACCCTAATACTAGCATGTTCTGTTGGTGCTTTCATCTGCCATAACCTGCAATAAGAGAACCTGAGAGTTAATTTTAATGGCACGTGTTTTACTATCCTCACGGGCTGTATCTTTATGAATAATATCAATATTTTGTTTTCAGGAAATAGATCTTCGTATTGGTGCCTCCTTCACCAGGTTCCAGACCATGTTAATGAAAGATTCTTTCATAATTGAATCTGCCACAGATGATAGAAATCTTGTCTTAAGTTATGGCCCCTGTCAGGTTTGCAACAGTCGAAAACATGAACATCTAACAAAGGTTTCTGATTTTTATGCTCAGTCATATATTATTACTTCTGAGTGTTTGTTTTGGTTACAGTTCCCTACACTTGGATTTATTGTGGAGCGATACTGGGAGATACAAGCACATGAGCCAGAAGAGTTTTGGTCTATAAATTGTTCTCATAAGTCAGATGAAGGCATTGCTAGTTTCAGTTGGATGTAAGCCATGAAGCTTTTGGCGCATTTATAATTCTTGTTGAATTTTTCTAACTGCAGGCTCAGGATATAATTTGATTTAGTTTGGCAGGCGGGGTCATTTGTTTGATTATACTTGTGCGGTTATAATATATGAGATGTGTGTTCAGGAACCAACTGCAACTGTAAGTCATACTTTAAGCTTGTCATTGTGGATGCAGAATATTGTTTCATTGTAAATATTAATTACTATTCAGGTCACGAAAGTTAGACAACAGGAGAAGCTGAAGTTTCCTCCACATCCTCTGAATACCATTGAGCTTGAGAAACGTGCTTCACGGTACTTCCGGATGAGTTCTGAACAAACAATGAAGGTGATTGAGATGAGTGAATGCATTTGATCTAGTTCTCTTTGTACTGATGACTGATGAACGATGACTCCTTGAAGTTAGTAACTACATTCCGTGTGATTTATGTTTTTTAAGCTACTGACTTTGAAGATATACAGAGGGAAAGATGGACTTCTGGATGGTGGCAATCACCAAGTATGAAACTGTAAAAAAAAAAAAAAAAAAAGCCTGTGCTCACAGAGCAGAAGTAATTTGGATATTCTCTATGTGCTATAAACTTGTATCGTATGTATGAACTGTTCATGCACATATGCATCGTTAATGATGCAAGACTTGGTTTACCATTACTTTTAAAGCTTTTCTGCTGGTGTCTTTCATTATTTGGACATTTGGCTGCATCTGTGACTTTTAAATTTTGATGGCTTTTTTGAATGAGCAAAGCTTTATGTACTGTTCTTTCAATATTTTGAATTGGTAGATGGATATGGTGCAGCATTCTCCATTTTATTTGATTTATCAGCTATTGGAGGATAACTGTTACAAATTAAAGGGCATGATTAATGATTTACAATAATGTTCGGAAGTTCTCCCAGTCTCTCTTATCCTTTATCCATAAGTGAAGAGTTTGTGATTTAGTATGAATTTGAGAGGGGAGACTGGAGAGAGCTACCATTGTGTATGTTGGTTTGTAAGTTTTAAACTTTTAATATCAAATTTCAGCATTTTCATCGAATGGCTTTTGATTGTATGATAACTCGTAGATGCATCTCCTGCTCACACCTTATTTAACTATTTTTAGGTGGCAGAAGAACTATACCAAGCTGGTTTCATCAGTTATCCTCGCACAGAAACTGATAGCTTTTCTTCAAGGACTGATTTGCATGTGAGTAACTTTTTGTCTCCTGTCCAAGCTTGCATAACTATTGTAGTTGTGATCCAAGTTGCGTTTGGACATTAAGATCCAGGAAAGGGCTAGCGTTAGCGTTGGTATGCATTTAATGAAGAAAAAGTAATTGAGTTTGTGAAGTGGGGTGCAACCCTTCCTTTCTTACTATTGAAAACATGCTCTCTGACATGGATATTAGAGAATCTGTTTGAACTTTACAGTGCAGTTATATACTTGAAAGAAAAAGAATGATGGAAATATGTCTTTGAAGAGAAAAGGAATTATGGAGTTCTCATCACCTTGAATATTGAAGGGAACTCATAAGTATGTTATTGTATAATGTTGATACATGTTGATGTGTATTGTGGTCTATATATGTTCTGCTAACCCGTGCAATACATGGGAATATCTTTAATTTTTATTGTAAATATTTTATCTGATCGTATAGCATTTGTTAGCATTTATTAGCCTTTATTCTTGTCTTTTCCCCTTAGTGCATGTATTTTGATGTATCTTATTTTTAAAATTGACGAGAAATACAAATTTCCTGATTATTCCTCACTACAAAGATGGGTTTTTCTTGGTTATATAAAATTGTTTGCCAAATAAAATATTTAGTTTTAAGTAAGTGGAAATTTGGCTTCTGAAAGCATCTATGGTTAATCACTGCTTATAGGGTTCTTACCTGAATTGGTCAATTTGTACTGGGTTAACAGTATCTTTTTCTGTGTTCTTTCATCCTTCAGTATTATGTTATATATTTTCCTTTCAATAAAAAGAGTTTGACTTTTGTTCTTTTTTGTCCTGCTTAACTTAACTCTGCATATGTTCTTCATAGCTAGTTCCAAGTCTGGGCAAAAAAGGAGGGTTGATAAGCTTTTGACAGCTAATGTAAAACTCCATCATATTTTTATGTCATGGATCGAAGATGTTGTTGTTTGTCCTGTTGAGCTTAATGCTGCTATGTTTCTCTAAATCCTTATTTCTTACTTTCACCCATCTGCCTTTCCTTAGTGACTGGCCTCTTTTCTTGATTGTTTCATGTTTAATTGCAGACAATTGTACAAGAACAGCAGGCGCATCCTGAGTGGGGAACATATGCACAGCGCTTGTTAGATCCTGGGGCATCACTTTGGAGAAACCCTAGTAATGGGGGGCATGATGACAAGGCCCATCCACCCATCCACCCCACAAAATTTTCTATAGGAGAATCTGGGTGGAGCCAGGATCACCGTGTAAAATATTACTGTCCGTTACTCTTGAGTTGCAAACCTTGCATTTCTCCTTGATATTCACATAATTTCCTGATTGTCACAGAAATTGTATGAGTTAGTTGTTCGCCATTTTTTAGCATGTGTCTCACAGCCTGCTGTAGGAGCTGAAACCACTGTTGAAATTGATATAGCTGGTGAACTGTTTTCTGCATGTGGGAGGGTGATACTTGCGGTAAGGTTTCTGTCACGTTGAACCTAATTCATTGTAGATTTTTATGATCTTTGTCACGTCATGATGTAATGCTGAAACCAAATTTTCTGTCAACTTGAAACAATATACTTCCATTTTCTGTTTTTATCTTCATTCCTTGATTGTTTTAACAGTAAGTCACAAATGTTCTGACTATTATTGTTGTTACATGACTGGTTTTTATTGAATCAGAAAAACTACCTGGATGTTTATCGATTTGAATCTTGGGGTGGATCAATGATTCCAACTTATATTGTTGGTCAACAGGTTTGGTTTGAGTTGTAACATCATATTGCACGCAAGATTTTGCAATTAGTTAATTTTAGCAAACATTTTACTTACCAAAACAGTCAACAGATGTTATGATTGGAATCTTCTTGAAGCAAATATTCATAGTAGAACTATTGATATTGCAGTTTATTCCAACAACACTGACCCTTGATTCAGGAGTGACCAGGCCCCCACCACTTTTGAGTGAAGCTGATCTACTGAGTTGTATGGACAAGGTGGGAAAGATATGGAAGCTGATGCTAACTGGACCTTGTGATTAAAATATGACAGTTCATTGCCTGTAAAGTAATTATATGTTCATTATATTGAAAATTGATTTTTGTTGCTTTTTTTAATTTATTTCAAAAGGAGGGTATTGGTACAGATGCTACAATGCATGATCATATTAAGAAGCTTCTTGATCGGTTTTATGCAACCAAGGATGCAAATACTCGTTTCACACCAACTAATCTTGTAAGCTCAAGTCAGTTTTTGAGACATATCTTCTTGATAGATCTTCGTTTCTTATGATAATTTGCTTGAGTTACCCAATTCATAGTTTATTGATGGAAGAGTTACTAGGTAAAATCGGAAGAGGATATAATGATTAGTGAAATACTTGCAAGCCACCATGAAAAATTCTCTTCAGTTTAGGGGACATTGTAATTGAATGGTTAGAAAAATTGATTCAGTTGTCAAAGCATTGTTCAACTGTACAAATAAGGTTTGATCCACTGCATGCGCATGTCATCCAACTGATTCAGTGGACTCATAAGGTCTGTGGCAAACAAATGCTCATTGCCTCCTCTTGATTAATCTGTGAATGACGGTTGGTTATGTTATGAGTTATTTTATGGCTTGGTGTCTGTATAACATGATATAGCTGCATTTCTTACAATATCAGAAGGCTATGGTTGTCCCATTAGAGGAATGCATCCTCACAATTTTAAACTTTTCAATATTGATAAGAACAAAATATATTCCCATAAAGTAGATATATTCTATTATGGGTATTGATCTTCCAGTTGGGATTTGCTTGCCATGGCATGGCATCAGGTCGGTTGTTGTCTGTCCTTGGCAATCTTATCTGCCATGGAGGTGCACAACAGTGGCCGACCTGTTTGTATGCATGCAGATAGTGGCAGCATTCTAACAAATAGTTCCCCCCCCCCCCCCCAAAAAAAAAAAAAAAAAAAAGAGATTGAATTTATCCGTAGATTCCTAGAAAGTAAAGTCAAGACAAAAAAAGGGTCCTCTCAAGTGTTCTCATCAAGTAATACTTCCCAAGAATTTATTTTTGTTTGTTAGTTATTATGCATTTAATTCTCAAAGGTATAGTTGTAATTTTTGGTACAAGCAATCAAAATTAGATGATGAAACGTAGCAATATCTTTTCCCATAATTATATTGTCAATAACCATAAGTTGTATATACTTGCAGGGTGAGGCACTTGTTATGGGCTATGATGACATGGGGTAAGTAATTTTATTGATTGTTAGGTTCTTATCTATGATCCGAAGATTTTTCTTGTGTTTTAATTTAGGGTATGTCTTTCATGATAAAATTTTCCATTTAGATGCAATAAATTTTTAACTCGCGTGGCTGGTATGATTTGACTTTTTAATACTGTGAAACTTGTATGACATTATGTAAAAACTTTAGTTAGAAATTATACAAAATTTTAGCTTCAATAAATGTCGTGGAACCAAGTTGTTTCGTTTTCTTTGAAAGGGTGGTCGGCAGTTGGCCCTCTGTGGGAGCTATTGAGCAGACAATGCTAGGTAATTATTCGCTGTCCTTTAAGTAACGTAAAAAAGGCCTTCAGTGAGATTATACAAAACTTAAGCTTCAATGCATACTGTGGAACCGCTGTTTTTTGGCCCATTAAACGGATGAGGATCATTAGGGCCCATTGGTACTGGGTAATTGTTTACCATCCTTTAAATAGTTCATTCTGATGAAGGCAGGATTCCAAGTAAGGTCTTTACCCAAAGTGCCAAGAAACCATGTCAATTGACCCTAGCACCTCCCCTAATTTTCTTAAATTGGGATCCGAAGAAGTCCTTTGTTAACATGTGCCATGTTTCTCATTGTGATGTGCTAAGATTGGGCCTTTCTGGGAGCCTGGAAAGGCACAGTCAGTCAACCATTAAAAATTCGAATATGAAAACCTGATTAATGTTCCAACAATGTTGTCATTTCCCATGCATTATACACTGCCTAGTTACCCAGATACCTTGTCGGGAGCAGGCTATTTGGCTTATGTTTGAAACTTAATTTTGCTTTAGCTTACGTTAATGATTCAGCATTCTCCTGAACTACTGGTTTGGTTGAGCATTTGTCTTATTTATAGAAGGTAACTATTTGGGGAAAATCTGTTCTTTAGGTATAAGCTTTGGAAACCATATCTCAGAGCAGTTATGGAACGTGACATGAAAGAAGTCAGTGAAGGTAATAAAACCAAAGCTGAAGTTTTGGCAAGCAGCTTGCAGCAGATGAAAGCTTGCTTCCTAGATGTAAGCTGTTATTTGGTTCTTGTTCCTTTGTTAGTTGTTACCAAGATCTGGTTACTCAGGGGATCTACACACTCCTGCCAGTAACCTGATTTTAAAATCATTACTCTGAAGAATGAATCTAGTTTAACATTGGACTGGTAAACATCTAGATGGATGATTGCTTAGCAATTCTAGTCTATAGAATTCAAATAAAAAAGGCCTTTAGTCAAATGGAAAAAGGCACTGATTAAGAAAGCTCATTGCAAAACATAGGACAAACATGCAGTTAATAATCAAGATTCAAGTGATATCCATCCATTGCTTTATAAAATAGCCATGAATTGTTGTCTTACATTCAATCTTGTAGGTTCTGCCCTACCAGGAAAATACACATTGATGTAATCATTTACTCTCTTAAATTCTTTGGAGGAAGAAATATTTGCTTTTCTAACGTCTGAGTGTCTCATCATTTGTTTTCTCATCAAAGTTTGATTCTTGAAGTAAATTATCCTCCATTTCTCTTTTTTAGCTTAGCTGGCATTTTAGTTACTGGATGTCTGATGCCTTTCCAAACCTTAGGCATTGGTTTACCTCCATTTTGGAGATCTCTACTCAATCACCTATACGACTTGCATCTCATTTGGTATGATAGGAGGAATTGTGTGTCGCCTAACCTTTAAAGGATTTCGATGCACATAATGGAAAGGAATAGAATGAGAAAATGGGATAACAAAAGTGATGGTGATGATATAAAATGACCTTGGTGCCCCTACTTTTAAAATTAATAATGAGAGATAGGGTAGAAACTGTTCAGTGGTAATAAGTATATCAATGTATATGATAAAATTTATAGCAAGCTGCAATATTCACATGTCATCAACGATGTGACTCATTCCCTAGACTTTATGCTAGC